CTTCTTCGTCACGCATCTCGAGTTTTTTTGAGGCGTCATACACCCTAGTGCTGGTCGCATTTGTCCAGTATTGATGCAACAAATATTATTGCTTGCTTTCTGTTGCCTTCCGAGCTCTTCGAGAGGCCCCAAAGCACCGGAAATTGCCACTAATTGTGCAATTCTCGGGCCACACTTAGATAAGCTGGGGGCCACAACTTGTAGGTGAACGGTATATATACGCTGTCCAACTCATTGTCAGCGATAAACCATATATTCCCGCTCTGCCTCGGTGAAATGCTTACCTTCAATGCCTTCCCTCTGCCGTACGTTCATTCTTCCTCTTAGAAAATGTACATCTCATATATTTTGTTTTCAGTGCATCAGTCCCGGTGGAGGACTTCATTATTTACGACGAACGCGAGCCTTACGAGAAGATTGAGAGGGAGATCCAAGCACTGCGACGCGCCATTGCCCATGAACGCGAGGCCGAGCCATACCCAAGTACGCTGGCTGCACTGTGGGCTGAGGCACCTGCGCAGTTCCGACGCGCAGTTATCTACGATGATATTATACCTGCGCCCACGCGCAATGCCACCTATGAGTTGGACCTCGGTGGCGCGGATGTGGAGCTCGAGCGCGAACCGGAGCTTTCCGTGGGTTGGGGGACTCCGCTGTGTGCTGAGGCGCCCATCCAAGAATCCCACCCTATAACGTGTCAAGACAACAAGTTTACGGCCACCGCGAACGCCAACCCCGACTACCATTCCGACTGCTCGCCTAGTCTTTCAGCACCTCTTGAGCCAACGCCAGGAACTCTTGAAGAAACAGACGTGATCATGGAAGATGCCACATCTTCTGAAGACTCCATCCGTACGGATTCATCAACTCCTTCGACCCCCGTTTCGACGGAGCACCTGCAGCTCACTGATTCCATTTCTCCCAACGGCGTTATGTGTCGCCTTCCAGCATCCCATGGGCCGTGTGGGTCCGTATTGTCCAGTATTCACGACGTCCAAATCCATATTCGCGACAAGGAGACGGCGCATCTGATCGGGCCTGTGCGCACATGCGCTTCGAAGCAGAAGGATGTTAGAGTGGATTGTCCATGGCCCGGATGCGCCTCGAAAGTGATGCGAAAAACCCTCGAGAGCCATATTATGTCGCACATGGTGTGCTTCGTGTGTCCGGTTCCGGACTGTAAGAGCAAGAAAAGCAAGTCGGGCGGGATCTATGGCTATAAGGATTCGCTACGCCTCCATCTTATAGCGGCCCATGACTTTGAGCAACCCGTGACATATGTCAACCGCTTTGGGTTTCTAAGGGCAGATAATGGTCAAGGACATCCCATGTAATGTCATATATTTCTCTTCTGTATAATCTCATTGATACCCTCGTGCGTTCCATGTAGTAAGTACAAAAGTATGATCATCTGATATTTACGCTGTTGCAATGTTACTCATTTCATAGGTGTTTTCAATATATTTAATGGAGTTTCACGCTGTAATTTTGGCAAAGGATTGAATTTAAAAATTTCAATGCAAGCGAAACCGCATAAAAGCCACAAGCAAAGTTCGCGTGGAAGGACGCGCAAGGATTTTGTCGACATGCGTGCGAATTTCTGTCAGAACGCAACCAAACACAAACACCGCACACAACATCGTCGCATCCACCAACTTACCATTCGTTGTAGCCTCAAAAACGCCTGACTCCAGTTGGGTCCTCGCAGTGTTCTTAATACATCCCAAGTGCTGGATCAGCGCCAGCATTCATCGACATTCATCATGTTTAGCAACGCTCACGATATCACCATCGAAGGGGGCACTTTCACTGCTGTTCATCACGATCATCACGATCATTACCATTCGCATATCAATGGTGCGGACCAACGCCAGCTCGGTATGTGGCCCTCTTTCTTTCAAAAATTCGCCCTAAAGATCCTTGTAATAGCCTTAGACAAACTCGTCAGATATATTGCGCCTGGTGCATTCCACAATTCCGAGGAACGCTACGATGCCCCGAAATGCCATCCAAGGACCCGCGAATCTATACTGAAGGAGATTATGGAGTGGATCAAGGATCCGAATACCGAGAGGCTGTTTCTTTGGCTCTATGGACCTGCTGGATCAGGGAAATCTGCGATTGCGCAAACGATTGCAGAGCTATGTCAGGCAGCCGGGATTTTAGCAGCTAGCTTTTTCTTTTCGCGCACCGTGCCCATGCGCAACGAGAAGACATATCTTATTCCAACCCTCATCTACCAGCTTATATTCTCTATCCCTGAGACTGCCGAATATATCTTTAACACCATCAATTCCGATGCGACTATCTTTTCCCTGTCACTTGCCACACAAGTCGAATACTTGATTGTTCGACCGCTCAAAGCCGCTTCGTTGGCTATCAAAGGAACACGGGTACCTATGCTGATGCTCATCGATGGAATGGATGAATGCGGGGGGCTAAATGCTCGTTCGGCGATCCTTGACGCGCTTCTACACTCTATCCAACGATTCAACCTTCCAGTCTACGTTTTGATCGCCAGTCGCCCCGAACAAGACATTCGTGACTCTTTTCATACTGGAAACAATATGCTTCGGGTATCAGGGTTGGCGCTGGATGCGTCCTATCAGCCAGATGCAGACATAAAAGTATTTTTACGCGATAAATTCGACGAAATTAAATACAAACACCCATCGAAGAGGTTTATACCGGCTCAGTGGCCAAGTACGACGCATCTAACACTGCTTGTACAGAAAGCTTCGGGACAGTTTATTTACGCGTCGACCGTAATCAAATTTGTCGACTCGACCCGCCATCGACCTCTAGATCGGCTGGATATAATTATCGGACTGTCGCCAGCGGGAAACAACACGCCATTTGCCGAGTTAGATGCCCTATACGGCGGTATCCTCGAGTCCATTGACGATGATCTTATCGCAAATGCGCTGGAAATCATTGCTTATGTCATTCTACACTCCACCCTTGACCTCCTCCCGGAAATCTCTGATCTCTCACTGCAGGCCGTAGAGGCGATCTTCGGACATCGACCAGGAGATATCTCTATCATTCTCGGCGACCTTCATGCGCTTGTTTTTGTCCCCGAATCCGAGGGCTTGCTTCGCCTTCATCATGCCTCATTATCCGACTACCTATTCGATCAGTCTCGTTCTGGCAAGTTCTTTATCGACTATAAGAAGGCACACGCGAGAATTGCAACATGTATCAGCCGAAACCTAAGCAAGGAACCCAGTGAGTCCGAAAGATATCTCGACGTATAAAAAATTGACGAGCGTTTCGTTGATAGACAATAGGCTGGCTCCCGCTCACCGAGTTTATTCAGTGCTGTACCATTCAAGATGCTCCGAGTTATCCGAAGAGCTTATGGATGCGCTGTATGGTCTTGATCTCACGTCCACAGTGTGTAACATCGACGGCCAAAAAGACTCCGTGGCTCCACGAATATACTCTGAACTAGCGCAGGAGTTGGATCATTTTATGCGCTGGCTCGATAACGAGGTACGAAACCACGTGAACATCTTAAATTTAATTATTCTCATTCCATATTCCGTTTCAGCATGACAACGATCCCTTCCAGGTGCTCCTCCGCTATCATGCGGGAACTTTCTTCTCTTGCCTCGTAGGGATTATAATACGTTCAGCCTCTGTCATTCAGGAGGACTTGTGTGCCATGTTCGCAACCTTGGCTACCTATCGAGAGGTACGAATGTTGGACATCATCGAGGACGTTCATGGAGTACATGTGCCATTTTCTCGCGACCGATTAATATTTTGGATGTCGTCAGATTCATATATGAACATCCTAATGAGTCGCTTTGCAACTGAGCCTGAACACGCGGGCGTCTATCTGGTGAACGAAATGACGTATGGAAAATTCGCGAGCACGCTTGCCAACTTCCTTGTAAAAAAGTGAGTAAGAATACTTAACCCTAGTACCGAAGACGTTCGCTGATGTTACGCATATAGCCGGAATGGTGAATGGTCACTATCCTGCGACGCTGCCCTCGATACACTTTCCTGCGTGCTCCCAAAGGCAGCAAGAGTCGATGTTCTCGAACAGGCGCTGAGAGGATTGTTAGCATCCCTCCAGTTCAGTCGTAACGATCGGTTTGTAATGACCGGGTCAAGACGTGGTCAATGGAAGTCTAGATTAACGAAGCTTGCGGTCAAGTGCTTAGATTTTATGAAGGTTCGTCCAGCCATAACATTCAATTCTCAATCTATACATTCGTGCTAATGTCTCTTTCCAATACGTCTCCAGAAACATGATATCCCGCATGGAGAGCATATTCACAGACGTGATTACGACCTTTGTATATGGTGCGAGGCAAAGGCAGAAGCCGACAGAAATGTCGCTCCGTCTGGAATTCCTCCTGGCTTACGTCTCAAGAAGAAGACCTAACGTAACTCAGGGATGTATTCGCCAACGCTATCAACAATAAACTGATTCTGCTAAAGATTTTAAGGATATATATGTAAATTATTAATCCTTGGAGAGGTCTCATCGAGTGTTATATGGAATGGGTATTTATCTATTGAGGGCTACTGCCTATGTAGACAATCTTCATGTCCAATTGATTTGCGTGATGATGCATTGACGACGTCCGCTACTTTTGCTTGAATTGCCTGTAGGTAACATCGTGAAATCTGCCTCGAACATGGCGCAGAACTCGTAGTCGGAGATGAGATCATGTTGCTCACAAGTGATTTGGCATGTCTACGGTCAAATTGGTTTCAAAAAAACATCATGAGATGCATCAAAATATGCAACGCACGTTGTTGTACATGAAGTACTGCGAAGCCCAAGCACACTCCGTTTAGCAAGCTCAGTGAGGCGATTCCTGACATCCGCGTCTGCCTTGCTGATTCCAATGTACTTTTATACTTCGTTCGAGGTAAATACGCAGATGTTGAGTAATAAGAGTGTCACAAGACTTAGATGATGATTTGGGAAATTCGACAGGCCCCAAAAACAAACTTCGAGCACTCAAAACATAAGAACTTGACAACGGCGAGGTTCGAACTCGCGCCCTTTCGGACTGGATATAACTATGGAAGGTATAACCTCGCCTAATTCCAGCGCCTTAGACCACTCGGCCACATTGCCATGATCGCGGTGTTTGTCTTGTTCTCCCATCCCAGTTCCATTGAATAATGCACTTTGGACAGACGAGTCGACCGTACACTCCCAGCCCTTTCCTAATAATTTAAGAGCCATACCATACACTAGACAATTGAAGGAATATCTCGGTCTTCATATTTACGTCTCTTATGAGCACATTCGATGACGCGGTCAGAATATCATAAACAACTCGTTATTTACCTACTATTTTGGAAAGCGTGCGCAGAGATGGAATATGAGATAACATGGAAAGTTCAAGAACACATAATGATATTGGTTGCGATCTTTGGCATAAGGTAATTACACATACATACAAAGCTTATTGACTTTAACGGTAGAAGACTGACTACCTTCTAAAGAAATTTGAGCGCCCCTTAGAGAGCACGAGTTGAAACAACTACGATCTACTAAAATCCTGTTTAGAACCCTTGGACCATGTGTCCAGATGCTGTCCGGATGTGGAATAGATGTGATGAGTGTTTACAGTCAGCGAATGGACTGGAGACGGACGATCCGCCGAGTACATCGCCCTATATGTCGAAGTATATCAGAGCTGGATGTCGGTGGCGAACCGATAAATATGGGATCGCAGTCCTAGGGCGCTGGTTACCCAGAACCTTCCGATCGATGAGGCAAATTGCCAGGACATGAGAAGCGTGAATAGACACGACAGGAGTACGTCACTTCAGTTAACGTAGGACGAGAGGTTTCGTGCGCAAGATCCAGACATCGACATCCGTCGGGCTGGGCGTCAATCCGACCCAGCGTGTTTGGAAGCCCATGTATGAGCGAACTACGGAGCATACCTCGTCGTCACCCAACGTAGGACGTTGCACGAAAAGCGTACTCGAAACGGGTGGAGCGGACCACATAACTTGCTCAGAGACCCGACTATCTGCATTGAAGAGCTCCGTAGCGCCACGACGAACACCATTATATATCGCAGCGAGCACGTCCCAGACAGTGATTATACCCTTTGTAGGCAGAACGACAATCGGCGTTGGAAAGGGCTCGACTACGATGGTGAGTGAGATAATGTTAGGAACATTCGTCGCGGGGAGAGATTTCCAGTGATACTGGTCTCGGTGTGATAGACCGGACGTGCAGGCAGCACCGATGGGATTTTGACAGATCGTCCAGATGAGGGAGGCTGGACCGTCTGGGGAAAGTAATGGGTTGATCGTGATTGGACGACCGTATGCGAGGGGTGGCAACGGCACCCGGGCGTAAGGCGACTGGCGGAATATGAGAGGCGGAGGGCCCTCAGTCCACTGCGGCTCGTTAATTCCGTATCCCGTTGTCTGTGCCACTCGATGGCCTGCGACGGCGTATGAGTCATGTCGACTGTCTGCAACACGAGGCGCTCCCGCGCGCCCGCTTTGCGTAGACCGCCTGTCCTTCAGGCGCGCATGATCCCGCTGACCATCGCCTTCGTATTGCGTTTGGGTGAGCCCGGGCATATCTAATCTAGAGAAGGGGGAAGTATGGGGAATGATGCAATTAGGCGCCGTAATAAGAAGACGTGATCTGCCTTCGGCCGACGTACCCAAGAAACCCTTGATGAGAACGGGCGACGGTGTCGGCGTGTCGGTATTGGAGCCTGAGGCTCCTTTCGAGACAAGGTGTTGAATGTGGTGATGCTTGTTGTAGATTTCGGTAAAGGGATGAAGGATGGAGTGGTCGTGCGAGAGGGATGGTTTTATCAGTTTTGAATCCTTCCCCTCGTGAAAGGTCCTAACATGGCCACACAGACTGCGTCGTGTCATCTCTCGGAACCGCGTCCTTGAGGAACAGGTGCCGGAGATTTGATGTCGCACGGTTCCGAGTCGCCGAAGCTTGTACTTGCTCTCCACCGCCCAATCATTGCAGGATGAATTGGGTTCGAAAGCGATGATAAAGTCACCTATAAGGCCATCGGTTCCGCCGCAATCCCGCTAACCAATAACGCTATGCGATGAAGATACTTCCAATTACCTCTGTAGTTGGCTGACTGATGGCCAGCGTACTCATCAATTATCTCCTGATAATCAACACGATGCCACAGACGTGTTCGAATTTAACTCGTGTTACAGACGCGCTCTGGAAAATCTATACGCTTAACGAGATGTATCAGTTTCCAGAATTCGAAAATCATTCCATACCAGCTAAAGCTCCAAGGATAGCTGGAGGACAGCCGCAGAACAAGCTTGATCAGGCGACGTGCAGGATCCGAGCAGCTCGGAAATGAGAGCTTCAGTCGACAATCCCCACATGCGCAGTTGCGCGCGAGAGCAGAAATCGACCTAAGGAATTACAGTCCCACGCACTGAACAACGGAATGAAGAAAGCGATTCCGAGAACATGAAATAAAAACGGGCAGTTTAGTTCAGGTGCTTTGAGAGCCAGAGTTTATGACACGCCGGGTAAGAGTTGCGAATTTAATATAACAGAAGGTCTTATTTTGGAAATTGCTATCTATAACAATGTCGGATCTCCTACTACTTATTTTGGGCATGCACGACTCCGATTCCTCCTGATGGCAGTGATGTGCGCGTCATAACCATAACTGGGCAGTTAAGGTTACGATAACAGTTACAGTTAATAACAGTTAGTAACAGTTATGCGTTAGCTAACTTTCCCACAAGTTGAGTCCAGGGTCAGCAGGAACTTGTGACAGTGTGAAAAACTAACACACTGCCAGCACGCCTGCGCGCAGCAAGTGCGCGGCGTGCGTTGGGCCCGCTGGAGCACTTGTCGCCCCCGGTGCGAGAGGTGCAGACAAACGCAGACGTAACAGGCGTGAGCCGCTGCCACCACATGCGCGGCGCGAGAGACGAACGGCGGTGGCCGCTCAAGCGCCCTTGGGCGGCAGCGCTGACGGTGCTGTTACTGTATGGGAGGGGCGGACAGATGCGGATGCGACAAACGTGAGCCATTGACACCGCGCGCGCGGTGCGAGGGATAAAGCTGAAGGTCGATGAAGAATGGTAGCGACCCGTCGAGCGCCCTCTGTCGCGCTCCGTGCAAGCTGTAGGCTGCACAATGTACTTATTGTGTTAGATTCACTGCTCTACTAATTTGTAGAATAAGATGTAACCATTGTTCTTTTTCTTGACGCGCTAAACATCTTTATTGACTTGCTATTCGTACTTCTTACTCTGCCCCTCGTGCAATAGTAGCGCAGCGCGCAAGCAGTGCGCCTAGAGCGCGACTGCACGCCCATCGACCGCGACGTGAGCGCGCCTGCTCTGTCAGCGAACATTACTATATGTGGTAGGTTGGTTACGGTTATTGATGGTCGATAACGGTTCTCTAACCATTTGTAACTGTTATTAACTGTGCTAACTGTTAGCAGGACCCCCGAATGCCCCCTCAGAGGTATGTTTCGCCCAATGGCCGGATTATGGATTTTCCCACGCCGAGTTACCTATCGTTTTGAACGTTTCCGCTCAAACGCAATCACTTTCAGAAAAAAATGCTCCAAAAATTTGGCAATTTATGGCCGGATTCCAAAACATAGCTTCCAGTGGGCTTTCGGGGGTCCTCTGTTAGCTAACCGGCACATCACTGCCTGATGGTGGTATACTAGGTGTCCTGTTAGGGATGTAAATATTTGTACTTGAATCGCTTCGAAGAGATGTCCTACCACGCCTTGAAATCATCATCGATATCGAGTTCGCCAGCGACAGAGTCATGCTTCACCAGCTCTCAATCTATAATACATCAGGAAGTTCACGATTTGCTTGTCTACTTTTTCCTGCTTTTTTGCTTGTGGCAAGCGGGACAAAAAAATTCGAGAAATATTTTCAAAATTTCTGCACTATTTCAACTCAGAATGTGTTTTACTGCTCTCAGAGAGACATAGGTAAACACACTTCGAAGGAGTGCTCACTGTGCTGGCGCTTTTGCAACTGATTCTTACCCCTTTTGGGAGAGGAGAAGACGTAAATACGGCTGCTTTTTGGCCGTGGGTACCTGGCTTTTTTGAGGACCTACTTTTGCGCTTATTTCTACTTGAATCTACTTGTACAAGTAGAAAAAAGCAAATGGGGAAACTTCTGATGTAGGGGATTTTGATAGAACAAGATTTACATTTCAAAAGAATAAAGAAACTGGGCGCGCCCCAAAAAGAATTGTACAAGAATCAGAAACAATAACTATTCAAATAGTAACCCAATACGTCCAACGCTAGAGAGCCAGTTAACATAACATTATCTTGCAATTTCCGGTAACGAAAATAAATGTTCTGCTGGTAAATGGTCATCCGAGGCTCTCTTCGCTCAGACTTCATCCTGAAAAAGGCAAAAGCAAGTAAGACACGCGTCTAACCAGCGAACAATAATTTTCTTACCGTTCAATAATCCTCGTACCCAGCAAGAGCGGTCAAGTTACCCGCGAGGTACAAATCGGCAATGGCTTGCGCCGCGCCCTCACCGGCGGGGACCTTGATCGTCCTCTCCGCCCCAGACGCCACGTCGTACCTGAAGTACACCGGCGCGCTGCACTCCGCCGCCGCCGCGCGGGCCTGCACGGCCGCGCGGCGCCCCTGCGGGGAGTGGAACCAGTTGAGGTTCGTCGCGCGCGCGCCGCCGCCGTTCCAGCACGCATTCGCGCCCGACCCAAAAACGGAAAAGAGGAAGTCGGAGCAGCCGTTGCCGGTGTACCCCTGGCCCTGCGCGCCGGAGGGGAGGTCGTTGAACTGCGCGGAGAAGCCGAAGCCGGTGGGGAGGGAGCAGCAGACGTTGCCGCCGTCGGTGCAGCCGAAGGCGGAGCCGCTGCAGGAGACGGTGCTCGCGAAGCCCTCGTAGCTGATGGACTGCGCGAGGGCGGCGGGGGCGAGGGCGGCGAGCGAGATGAGGGTGGCGAGTTTGAGTTGCATGTTGGGTGTTTGTTGGTGAAGGCTTTGGGTAGAAGGTTTTGGTTGTGCAAGAGACGATTCTTGAGCTGGAGTCTGAAGTTCATCGCAGATTGTTCATTGCTTAAATACCTTTTGGTTTGCTCATGTG